CAGGCAAAGCCTGAAAACAAAGGAAGGTTATAAACACATCACCGAAAACATGGACATATTGGAGTCAGATATCCTTGGAAATTATTGCTTGATAAATAACAACATAGACTCGTGAAACATGCCAGAGTAACTAAATGGACCCAGGAGAGAGAATTAGCATATGCACGCCTGTCCTCTTGTTTGTACACTAAGTAATGCATTTATGGCTTATTTGTTGTGAAGCCCAAAAGGAAAATGTGTTTTTAACAGATTTAATCAATACGCCAACCTACATTAAAAAAACAAATAAACCCACACAATAAATAAAAAGCAAAAGGCCAATCAATAGTCAACAGTGCAGCTTAACAGCCACTCCAGCAGAAAACTGTCTGAAAGGCGCTTCACACTCCAGTGTCTGCACGATCCACAGCTGCTCGCTATTGATTTGTTGCAAGCAAAGAACATCTATTATCACATGCCATTGTGAACCCAGCAATTTCTCCAACAAGTAGCCTGCAATGTATGATCTGCAGGGGAAGGCAGGTAGAACTGACTGCTGGGGGTGGGCTGAGGACCCACATTTATTCCTTTCTCTTTACCCCACAGTCATTATGGACATCCAATTTCTACATCCAGGAACTTGATGTATGGTAAGGATTCATGTCCACGGACTGTTCCATATCTACTTCTCTAGAGCACAGAAGGCAATCACAAGGCTCAAAATGATACACTGAAAACAGTTTCCCCAAGTCTGCTAAAATGTCAACCTTGAGGGAAGGATAGAAACTAGGTGTTTTGTTTAAAATTGCTATTTTCAAAAAGGTCCCCCAAAGGACAACTCTTTTGTCTATGTGTGGGAATGAGCATGTGAGTTGGATTTTGTGCAACATTTTACAATGTTGGGAAGGAGAGACGAACCTGATGATAAGCTGCCAATAGTAGCGGGATTGTAACACAATACCGGAAAGCAATGCTGGATTTCCCTGATAGTGTAATGGCTACAACTCAGTAAGAGCTCCCAGAGTCTCAGTCCTAATTTAAAATACCAATAAGAACCCAATACCCAAAAAGAAAATCCCAGTAAAAGCCCTTGTCAGGTTCCATTTCTTCTGCTGTTCTCAAAATGTAACACAAACACTGGATGCTTAGTTGGCCTCCAGATGGCACACAGCCTGTGAGAAGTCAGTCCTTTCATTTTGAATTTCTAAGAACTGAACATTTTCTTTAGAGAAGGCTATTTGTGTGTTCTTTGATCTAATCGCTTTTAGGATGATTTTGTCTATTGCAGTCTCAAAAATACACCTAAAGGTAAAGGAAAGTCATCTAAAGGGAATGTCCTAAGGTTTACAATTACATGAAATGGTAGAATGTCTTGTCTTAAAACTATAGAAAGACAATCAGTAAATGAGTTATATTTGAGCTTCCAGCAGATGATTTTTGTTTTCTAGTCAATGTGAGAGCATCACTCTTACAAAGGATAATCTGTCAGAAAATACATGACATAATTTTGTAACTACTGTATCTACTTTGCCATTATCTGTTCCAGAATCAACCTGAAATTTACCCACTATATCCATCACCCACCATGCACTCAAAAAATAAAAAAATAAAAAAATAAAACCCCAAACCTGGTCAACACATTCTTAATGAGATGCAGTTTTAAAATGTAAACTCTACTCATGTAAGCCAGATCTATGTGATAACACACACAAAATTGGCAAGCAAACACCAACTCTGGCAAACCAGAAAAAGAAAATACAAATGTCACAAATGACAGAACCCACACTAGAAAAAAGAGAGGAAGACTCTAAAATACAGACATTTCTTTAGAAACTTGCAAGTCATGCACAGATATAATTAACTTTTCATGATGAACTAAGCACATTATTTTGGAAAATATCAAAACCAAGTCATTTCCCTATTGAAAACATTTCTATTCTTGGATATGCAATACATAAATTGAGATGTTTTCACTTCCATTAGTTGAGGTTCAAGCTGCTGTCCTAAGAAACAGCTCATGAAATATGAGAGCACTAAGCATCTCCTACCCACCCTCCATTAGATTAAATCTCCAACCAGTTCACATGATCTTGATCAACACTTCAAACAATAACATTTGTTTTAGATACATGTAACATTCTACAGAATGTACTATTCCCAAGAATTGGGTAAAGGCCAGATTTCCCTGATGGCACTCCAGGTCCACTTCTGTTATTTAGGTCAAAGTCAAGCCACCTGTTGTATACATGTGATCAGAGTAATTATCATTCAAATAAGTAAGATTCAACCCCTGTTTTTCTCTTTATCTCTTCTCCTTCCTCTGTTCCCTCCTTCATTCTCTTATTTTATTCTTTCTTTGAAATTTATCCCAGAGCTTTTGCCAATAAGTATGAACCTTGTTCAAATCAGGTGATAACTCAGGGTTAACACTGAACTCTTCTTGTAAACTAAGCTACCAAGAATTTACTGCCATTAGGAGGCACATAGAATATCACATAGATAATTTCATGTTGAAGTTGTTTGTGAGATGAAGTAACCAATTGGAATTCTAAGGATCAACGTTCATATAGAATATAACAATCTGTGATGTAAAGTAGTAAGACCGAGTTTCTAAGTAGAACAAACTGTCTGTGATTTAGAACAAAAGAGAAGTGCCCTCTGCCTCAACACTCTGAATTTCAAACACTGGACACAACGACATCCACTAAAATGTATTTTAAGCAACATATTCTCCATATATTTGGTTGAATTTCATTAACAGGTTCTATTGGAACTTTACAGTTAAATCCTGTGTATCTGAATTATCTCTATTTCTCACATCCTGCAATTAAAATGTACTGGCTCACATTTTTCACCTGGCCAACCAATCACAGAAGTCCTGATCTACTCTTCGAGAGATTATTAAGCCAACAGATTCTTTTAGTGATTTGGGATCAGAGGTCATCTAGGGACAAAAAAAATCAGCTACATCATTTACAGAATACAATCCAAATACATTACCCAAAGCCTGGATAGGGTAATATCCTCCAACATTTTTGGAGGATGAGGAGCTACCTCCACAAAAGAAAGCTGACCTTTCCCAATCTTATCAATAGTTTTAGTATTTCATTCTCTATTGACAAATTATTCAAAACAGATCATCTAATAGTCCTTATTCTGGATTGAGACATAGTCTTAACAAAATTAGAAAACATCATAGAAGGCTGAAAGGACCCTGGATTTTTTTTTTTTTTAAGCAGGAAACAAAGCCTGGCCTGCATGCCAGAAAAGAACACCCCAAAGATAGAAAAATGCATACCCACCTTCTGAAGTCTGAACATGGTCACCGCAGTTAGAGTAACTTACCTTTCTCTCTGTGCTGTGTGCAGAGTCTCTTCCTGACCATTTTCTACCAGAAATGGTATGTATGTGTGATATGAAATAAACTTGTGAGGATAAAGTAGCCATAGGCCCCATTATAGTGAGTCCTATGCAGACAATCAGAAGGAAAAGCAAAAGCACATCTACAATTCCCCAGGTATTGGATGATTCCATAACTGAATCAGAGTGGAACAGTATTCCCAAATAATAGCTACAGAAACAGGATTTTAATAATACCAAATACTTGGAAGAAACAGTCAGAGGTCAAAACTTTCTGCAGAGAGTATATCCTTTTTGTCAAGATGCAGACGGCCCATCCTTACATTTAGATCAAGAATATGAGAGAATTTTCTCTCTACATTGCCAGACCCTTCACATTTTTTATCCTAAGAGACTGATGAAGCACATGAAGACAAAAAGCTACAAGAAAGTGGAAAACAACAAGAAATAACTGCACACTTAAAAAGGTGAAAAATCAGAAATCAAGGAGAACCAAACAGACATACTAGAGAGAGTAATGTAATTGGTGTGTGCTCCCACATGGACAAATGAAAATGCAACTTTACTGTTTACTCAGATAATGTCATGTATTAGAGGCCAGCTGACTATGGGTTCAAATTGTTAATCAAACTCCCACCATGGAAACTGCATTTAGAAAATCAAAAGGTCAGCAGGATGTACTAAGTCAGTGGTTTTCAAGAAACCTCTCTGCAATGGGTACTCAAAAATTTCAAGTGTTTGCTTGTCTTTGAAAGTGGCCATATTTGGAAAATAACATGAGAAAGAAATAGAGACAAAGATTATATGATCCCAGAACATAAGTATCTCCACCATCAATGTTGGAATCACCTTCAGGAAATCAGTCTTCTAGAACTACATTAGGTGGCATGCCTAAAGCATCGCTAGGAAAAAAAAAAAATAACAACTGATTCTCTTCCAATATGAACCAAATACAGATACACATATATCAATATACTTACAAAATAGAAATATACATAAAGTGTGTGTGTGTATACACTGGTGTATGTATATACATACATACATATATATATATATATATATATATATATATACACACACACGTACACACACACACACCCAAACAGTCACCAATAAATTCAGCCAAAGGGAATCTGTGCCATACATTAGAAATATTTTGAGAATGCTTTCAACATTTCAATTTGGAAAAAACAATACACTCTGAATGTCTTCATCATTTAGAAGGTCTAAAAAGTTCTCTAAATGCGTCTAAACTCAGGCTTTTAGAGAAAATAGCTACATTCTTTAAATACCTTCTAAATTCTAGACAATCCAAACAAGAATGTCTTGAACTGTTACTGAGATGACCTAATTAAAGGAAAACTGAATTTTTCTAAACAGAAATATTTCCTGATTTTTTTTTTCTTGATTTTCAATCTCAGATAATCTAATCCAAAGAAGAAAGGTATCAACAAAATAGAAGTTGTCTAGTATTGCTGAGCAAGAAATATCTCTTTGCTTCTTGCATAAGAACACACTCATGTTTTATTTTCAAAGTTTCTAGAGGAGAAAACTGCGTATGAATCTTTGGAATAGCCATGCTTTTGCATAATATCCCTGGAACTTTCTCTAAATCACTGAAATCTTTGGAAAAATCCCAAGTATGAAAAGGTTGTACTCACGGTCATTGCACTGGTTTCCAGAATACGAGGTCATGGAACAGTCACAGGTGAAGCCTTCCCACTGCTGCATGCAAACCCCCTGGTTGGCACACGAATCTTCCTGGCAGGTAGTACTTGGTCCTAGCAATGCATAAGAAGAGGGGAAAGGAAGGAAAAGGAAAGAAGTGTTAAAACATTCATCAAACTTAAAGCAATCACTTGAATTTATATCCTCATGCCCCCAAACAGTCAATGACACAAACCACCAAAAATGGCAACTTACATCATGCAACAAGAATTCAGTATATACAAAAGACAACAGATACACACTGAGCCACAATTATCAATAGTTACACTCGGAAGGGAGAGGGCTGAACACATTGTTCTCTTTTAGGCAGACTTTGCAAAAGAGCTTCACCTCTACCATTCAACTAGAAAGATGCCTCACGTGGAGCATAGTCTTTGTAAATGAGCAAAGCTAAGGCAGAAAAATGCATTCCCATACTTTGAATCAAGGCACAAGGTTTCCTATAGACTTTTATAACATTAAAATCATGGCATTAAATGTTCATAAAATAAAATCTGAGATATTAAAATGATGTTTGATGAGGAATAAGAAGAAATTGAGGAGAAGAAAAAGGAGAGGAGGTAGTAGCAGCCAACAGGTACTGATGTGTTGTAGCTGATAAGCACTGAGCATGAAGCACTTGGTCTACAGCAACTCAGTAAGCTCTCCAGAGACTCTGAGGTAAGTAAACACGACTGCTTCCATTTCACTGGTTAAAAAAACTAAGCTCATAGAGGTAAAATAATTTATCCAGTGTCACATATTGATAATTAAAAGATTCTGATGTCCAATTTAAGTAGATTAGCTCTGAAGTCCAAGTTCTTATATCAGTGTTTCTCAGATACCAGTAGTTCTCAGACTTTATCACTTAGGAAGTTATTAAAAATGCAAATTATTGGGCTCCTAGCCCCATACCTACTACATTAAAAACTTCAGGGGGGAGGCAGAAATCAGTGTTTTCTCAAGTTTCCAGGAAATTTTGATGTAGCCAAAGTTAGAGAGAAGCCACAATAACTGTGGCTATAGGGCTACAGAAGAGTGTCTTTATAAGAAATGTGCCTCCACAGAAGGTGGGAAAGAGAAGGACTTGATGTATAGAAGGGACAAATACCGGATGGTCTCACTCATAGCAGGAATTTAGAAAACCTAAATAAGGGACCAGTAAAAAGACTAATTATAATAAAGTAAAAAATCAAAATCAACAAGCAACTATAAACCAGAGACACACTATAGGAGAGGTGCTGGGGGAGGAGGGAGTAGGGAGTAGGGTCAAGATAAGGGGGGTGGGTATTGTATGGGGACTATATAACCAAGATGAAAATGCATGCATTGTGCAAAAATGAAAAATGATGTAAGAATTATATAAAATTAAATTAAATTAAATTTTAAAAATTATGCTCATTTTTATTTCATTCTGTTATATTTATATTCTGTGTGTCTTTCAAAAGCAAGTAACATGTAAGTGTAATGATACATGTAATTAATACAAAAATAAGTAAATTTATTTTGGGGGCACGCTCAAGATCTCTTGTGGATATGAGAGACCAACTGAACAAGTTTGGCCATCTCTGCCTTGCTGATTGCCATTAGAATCTCTCCATATGCGCGTCTGGGACCTCTCTTTCACTATTATTTTTTTTTCACTTCTAGCTTCTGCCCTAACCTGTGGGGTTAAAAATAAACCTACATTTTCAGAATGAAATCTGAGATGAAGGAAATATCTTAATGTTCAGGCAACCACCAGGAATTTAAGAGAGAACTTCAGCAAAGGATGTAAGGGCTCAGATTCTTTGCATATATATATATATATATATATATATATATATATATATATATATATATCAGTTAGGATGTGATGCAAAAAAGCAGTTGACAGAGTAAAAATACATCCATGCCAATAAGTGTCAATTTTGCAATTCCCAGGCTAAAAGCTCATATAGGCACAGACTATCAAAAGGTAAGCATGTGGGGTCCTAAGGACAAAGGCTCAATAGAAATGTATGCCTAGAAAGGTTTTGTCTTCTGGGTGGTAAGACATTTTATATTTATGCATGCAGGGTGGCAGCAATGCAGAACATCACTCTTAACACAAAGTTATTAGGATATGACATAGGAAAGTTCAAGACAATCACGGATGCTGGGGAGTAGCACTGCTGCTGGGTTCCTGCAGCTGCATATGCCATGTGGTCCCCCCATGTGGAGATGAAAGGAGGTACATGAGCATGTTCTCAGTGGGTCTTAAACTTGAGCATTGTATAGTACAAGTTTCATTAACAATGGCAAATCAGGACAGCTTCTTTCAAAGGATAAAAGCTTCTGAGAAGTCCACGGGGCTCCTTGACCAAACAGCTTTCATCACACAATGGGCTAGTAATTCAATTGTGCTCAAGGATCAGAAATACATGGAAGGCTTTCCCTTGAAAGGCAGCATAACAGCAAAATCTTTGAGAAAATACAATAATTCTATGCATGTTGATACAATCTGAAGACAAAGGCTTTTCCATGCCTTTTCCCTCCCCTCTAGTCAAATTTTTAACTGTTTTCTAAGGACCAGTTCAAATGCCTTCCCCATAGGAAATATTCCCCAAATGACTTCAAATAGTTCCCACTTTTTAGCAGCTGCAACACTAATTATTTGTATCATTAATGCTTACATATGATAATAGTCATTTTATCATTTTGCACTACCCTCTGCTTATATAATTCTCTAAATGTTTCTTGTATTTTTATTATTATTTATTATAAAAGGATTGAATGCTGTCTTCTGTTAGAGGTCATACATGCTTGGTTTAATCCTTGATATACTGTACTATGCATAATGTGCTAGATGAAGCAAAAAATATTTCAGTAAATGTTGAGCTTCTCTGAATTGGAACTCCCTGATTTGTTTCTGTCTCAAAAGTCGAAGTCTGAGTATGGGAGAACATCTGTACTCTGTACAGAGAGCAGTCTGTGTTCTGTTTGTCAAAGGTTGATCAGGAACCAAATGAATAGGGAATCATAGGTTATTTCCAAATTCCACAGAATTCCTTTTGCTTGCACTAAGGGGTGAAAGCAATTCAGAATCAATAATCCTCAAAGACTGAGCATGCTATAATCATCTAGTAAGAAGGAATTATAATCATCTAGAAAGAACAGGTTCAGTGAGGACCACCAGAACCTTCAATGTTATCTCAGCGATTCATAGATGAAATTTGTTCCTTCTTTGGAGGCTGAGATCCTGCTTCTTCTCAAGCTTCATATCCCCCTGGGAACTCATTCTTTACATTTGAGCTCAAAACAGGCTTTGCTTAGATTTTTTAAGAAAATGCCCACCTTCCTTCCTTCCCATCCATTATGTCTCCCTGTTTAAGTGATAACAATTACCTCATCTGTAATTAAGTGTAAGCTCTAAATTGTCTGTTTCATCCTACTGGAATGATTTGTACAAGATAATTTTATATCAACAGATAGGCACTTAGAAACTTTCCCTTTTACCCCTGGGGATTTTGGTATATTTTTCTTCTTCTTTTTTTAATTTTTTAAGATACTGCTTTGTATGAGAAATAGATTGCAAAAATAAGCTTTGAAGGAAGAAGTTGTTTTTTTTTGTTACTGTTTTTGTTTTCTGTTCATCTTTATATCTCTAATTTCTCATAAAATATTTGGTATAAAGAATTTTAAAATATTAGTAGATAAAAGAACAAAAATAAAGAAATGAAGTCATTATTTTATGGCTTAAAGTCAAGTGGTTTCCTAACAACTTACCCTTAGAATTTACCAATATCAGCTCATATAAACAATTTTCTACTGGGAAGCAAGCTTTTTGGGGGATGGTGTTGGTGGTCATTATTAATTGAACATATTTCCTTCCTTGGTTTAGCTCTCAGACTCATTCAATATTATTAGATGTTGAGACAAGTACTCATTTGTACAATGAGAGACTGAGCTAGATGATAATATAGGCTCCTAGTCTTACTTCAAATTATTTAAATACATCATTTCCCAAGCAGATTAAAATTTAAAGAAAAATGTATCAAAATCCCCAGGGATAAAAGGAAAAGTTTCTAATTGCATATCTATTGATATAAAATTATCTCATAAAAATCAGAGACTGGTTATCACAAGAGAACAGGGGACTTACATATAGTACATAGTATGTTCCAGATGCTGTACTCCCTGTTTTTTGTCGTTATTAATTCAAGAAATCTTCATTAACATATTGATGAAGCAAAGGCAATGTAAAGCATTAAAGAATCAGAAAATCAGGAATGATTTTCCTATGAAAGATACTCAGAATTTCAAAAGGAAAACAATTCTTTAGAAAAGATTTAATTCCAAAACAGAAAAAAAAAAAAAACTGAACAAAACAAACCTGAATATTGATTCTTTTTGCATGCATTTTCAGCTACTTGAAACTGAACCATTTAGTGAAATTTATGAAAATTATGTAACATAAACCTTTTGAGATCACAGTGACTAGACTAGCAGAGGGTTCAGAAGTGCTCTGTTTTAATCCTACTGGGAGTTTCTCAGCTAGGTCTCTAAATGTTACATGTAGTTATTTGCCTCATTATGCCTCTATGTAATAAAGATAAGTGAAAACAAACTAACCAGAGCACAAATTTCTCTAAGGAAAGAAATATAATGTGAAAAAATATGCATATTCCTAAAGCCTATTGATAAAGCTAACATAAAAATTAAAATTTGCAATAGCATTACATTCCAAATTTTAGTTTCAGTTAATTTTACCATATCTATTAAATGTCACTACTAAACAAAATGAAAGTTACTCTTACTAGCATTTCTTCCATATTTCCACTGGCCTCTCTCCAAGTCCAGGCTGCCAAAACTCCCATTTTTTTTTTTAATCCCATTCAACCACATCCTTTAAAACTAAGTTTTCATCAACTACCAAATAAGCAAATAAGCAATCTAAGGTAAAAAAAAATAAAGGTTAAAGAATTTTTTAACTGTTGATCAAGTTGAGATGCATGATTTCAGAAAATCAAACTGAGAAACATGACATTTTAATGTAAGGATGTGTGGGGTTGTTAAATAAGGGAAATTTTCAAATGCCATTTCAATTCAAAAT